AGAAATAGAAGAGACGAGAAGGACAATCAGCACAATGGTCAAAAATCGCCAGCGACAATGCAGAAAAATGGATACGGAAAGATTGTAGATAGCGGAATATAATAAAAATACTGGACATGAAGCCAATTATAAGGCAACAGAAAGAAGGGCCTCATATGATAAAAACACAAAAAAATGGAATATTAGGAAGACCATTGATATCCTTACGGAAATACATTTAATGAACAGGAGATTGGAAGAAAGCAGTTCATGATAATTGTGCCTATTGCTTAAACGAACTCAGAAAAAACATAGATACTGTGAGATCTACAAAAAGAAGATGCTTGCTTGAAGACATATCTGTAACCAGGGGAAAAGACGTCGCAATGAAGAGAAAGGTGAGGTACCTTCTAAAATCAAGAGAATACGTTTTCAGCAAGTCTAATCAGCTCTAAGAAATAACTGCAACTTTGGGGGCTTGGCGATCACATGACTTGAAAAATGGATAGTTAAAACCCTCACATAAATTCGTCATTATGGCCAAATTTATTAGAATCAGAGATATGACCCGTGGAGACAATGATTGATATCTGCAAACACGGGAATCAAAGCCTAGGTGCTCTGCTTGGTGAAGCGACAGAGTACCTGCCTTGAGAAATAGCGCCTGAAGTGAAGCGTATACATGGACTGGAACCGAATGAAGTAAGTCAACTAACAAGATAATAAGTGGATCTAAGGGACCATGAGAAAGATCCGGATATGAGGCCCAAGTTGGACTAGCAAATCGAGAGGGAGGGGACAAGGTAAACAGGTGCGATGATGTTACACCAAACTCGGCAAAATGAGCACACTTTTTGAAAGGTGGAGTATAGACAAGTCAAAAGTCGTGAAAGAGTGGGATATAGGAGTAAAGAGTAGGTAGATGTGTCAGGACTGAAGGAGTGATAACACAATCGTTCGACAGAAAGTAGGCCACCTGTCCCTTTGACCTGTTGTATCCTAATGCTGAGAATGGCGAGACGCACTGACGATCTGGCGAAACGTCTGGAAATGTATCAGGCTCACTGTCTGATGCTGGGCGTTGTCATAACTGCAGTAGCAGGACTTAGGGCAAGGTGTGTCAAACTAGGCCACCCTGATGACGCCATAAAGCCGAAAAAGCGAGGTCGGACCACTCCCAAAATTAAGGAACAGCAAAGTGTATGTATACAGTTTCGGCTCTAAATTAGGTTTAAGGAAATATTGAGAATGGTGAGTAGCAAGGCGTGGATATACTTGTGGGTAGATAAGATCAATAAACTAGCACAAATTGAGCTTGACCTATCAAGAAAATTTCCACGACCAACGCAATTGATTTGAAGTGAGTCTTTGAAAAGTGACATGTGGGCAACATAATACTATTCAAATTGGCGGCAAGTGGGGATAAGGTATTCCCTTTGACTATGTGTTAAAGAAACATAAACTACTTTTAAGAGAACATAAATAACTTAGATATGTACCAAAGCCTCAAAAGCCAAAGCCTTTAAAGATCTCAAGAAGAAAAGTTAGAATCAACTAAAACTAAAAGAGTGATCTCGTAACTCTTGGGCTTTTTAAAGTGAGTAAATCATAAAAAAAGAGGTGGGAAAACAAAAAATGATATGAAAATATTGTCAGGATTACCGCAAGATAATCTTCAAATCGTAGATATAAAGACCAAGATAATTTTGCCTTGTGTTTGAAAGTAGTTTCCTTTTGCTTTATAATGTTGGTTCGAACTTGTTTTCGAAACTTGGTCGGAGCGTCAGGGATACGTTGTGGAACGTACCTAGTCCCATGTCCTCTGTCATAGTATACGTGATTTACAGCATTGGATCATTGGCTGGGTACATTCCCAAACGTTTCACCAGCACCGCCAATGAGGCGCCATCGCAAGCACAGAGCTACAACTTATCAAAGTGACAAGTAATTAATTGTAACTCTGTGCTTACGATGGCGCCTTTCTCCGACGATGCCGGCGAAACGTTTGGAAATGTACCCAGCCAATAGTCCAGTACTGGAAATCACGAACATTATGGCAGAGGACACGGGACCAGGTACGTTCCACAAGATCTCCCTGACACTCAGAGCAAGTTGCGAAAACAAGGTCAGACCAACACTAATCTTCAAACCATTACATTTGAATTAATCAATATATCAAGATGAATATTCATTGAAAGAAAAATTAAATAAATTATGGCATTAATAATAATAGTAATCAAAGTCCGGATCAGCACATTTTAAGTAAGTTAAAAATACTAAGGAGGTAAAATTCGATACATTAATTAATTAAAATAACAGTTATATAATCGGATTAACGGCGTGAAGTTAATGCAGGCGATATAGTTAGTGAAGTAAAGTAGCACATGTATTATTGAAATAGGGCTAGAAGAGAATGATAACTTAACGAAAGAATCATAAATAAAAAGTATCAAAATAGTAATTAGAAAAAAGTGTCCAGAAGAAAGAATCGAAGAAAGCCTAGCCACCTAATACTACAAGTAAGTATACCTGTGTGTATCCGCTTGTGCCGATTCATATTCGGCCAGTCGTTAAATTGGCGGCCGCAAAAACAGCATTGATAAGGTTTTTCGCCAGTGTGAATACGTCGATGCTTTTCGAGATAGCGTAGGATTCGAAACTCTTTGCCACATTCCCGACAGCCATATGGCCCACCTCCTCCAGCACCGGTGGCTGGTGTTGCAGTTGTATAAGTGCCTGTCGATCCTTGGATAAGCGAAACTAGACCCTCAGTTGTTGGGTCACCTCCGGCAGCAGCGGCGAAGGGCTTCACAGCGTCAAGAAGTAGGCCAGTAGAGGCTACCAAGCCAGCATTGTGGTTGGAAGAAAGAGTTCCACCAGAGGAGACCGAACTGGTGGTGGTGGAGGGGCTGGTACCCAGTGGAAGGATACCGGTGGGTAAAAGAAAGGATGAGGTATTGGAGATAGATGATATGGCAGTTGAGGAATTGGAAGTAAGGGGTGAAAAGGAAGGTGAAGAGGTGGAAACAGCACTTTGATGATGATGCTGCATAGACGAGCCAGCCAGACCAGAAGTTACAGGTGCTCCCTGAGTAAGTAGAAGAGTACCTACGGGCGTGCTTGCAGTCATACTGGTTGTAGCAAGAGAGCCAGCAGCTATGTGGCTAAGTGGCGATGCCAGTGGAGTAAGATGAGTGAATCCGAGTGCGGCCAAGTCGGCACTAGAGACAACTGCCGTGGCACCAGAGGGTAGGCCTAGCGCAAGACTAGCTGATGAAGCAGGGCTCGCAGATTCATTCGAGAGTCCTGCGGCTGCTGCTGCGGCCCGAGCCAGACAATCTACAGGATCAGGCTTCAAGTCAATGCATTCATCGAAACCTAAAAAGATTTGGTTTTCGGGGAAAAACAGGAAATACATTGTAGCCAGACAAAAGGAAGGACGAATGATGAACACTAGAAATTTCCTAAAAATGCAGTATGGAAAAAGAGCATATCAGCTGGAATAAAAAAGGTGCAGAGAATAATAGAAACAATTGAATAAAGAATGTAATGGTAATGAAGTATCTAGATTTGTGCCCATCGAATAAATCGATTGGGGCCATAAATTGAATCAATGCAGCTGTGAGTATAATTGCGATACCGGCTCAATGACTAAAATACGATGGGGAAGATATCGCTTGATATAAGCGAAGCTTAAAACCAATATCTGAAGTACCGTTGCCTGAATATCTATCACAACCTCTGCAAAAAAGTAGTCAAAGGTTATTTTTTGAGGAGAAAATAAAGAATATGAATAAAGCCAGGATTACTAAGCCCAAGCCTATCTCACAACACCGATTTAGCCCTGTTATACAAAGTCAAACCAATCCCATATTTGATTTTCTTTATCCTTCAGCCAAACGTAATATACTAGAACGATAATCTAATAGCAAAAGAAATATCTTGCACATGACTATCAGCTTGGCACGCGCTTCATGACAGTCATCAGCGGGACTTAGATCCACCACTAGATTTACCAATCTTGACTTCATGCAAAACCAAGTTGACTGCTCAGCACCACTCAGAAGCAGAATTTCACATAGTGAAAAGTATTTAGTAGGAAGAACTAATGATCGAATTGAATGCTCCACGGGACCATTAATCTCAGACAACGGAGTCTTCTGGCACCCCGCACATTAACACTACACCACGCATTCAAGATTCTATGGAAGCATCTTGCCTAAATAGATCACTCTTAGGAAGTTACAACGCTTGGCTTTACGAGAAAAAGAAGACTATTTCTCCAGGGCCTCTTCAGTGATGAAACTACTCAGCCCAGATCCGGTCGCGCTTTTTCCGCCTTTCACTTCCACTTCTGTTTCCCTGCTTAAAAAGTTTTCATCTGGTCTGAGTCTACTTAGAATATGTTAGGATATAGAGTTATAGCACAATCGAAGGATGCAAACACTAATAAAGCAAATACAATAAAGTTAAACGTTCATAATAATGGATGATTTCAAGTGGTTTAAACGATCAATTCAAATTAAAAAAGCCAGAATGAGAAAAATAATGTAAATGCAATCATTTATCATCCGCACAAACCTCCAGAAGCAGGAGTTCCGTGACCAGTAGATATATGATGACCATTTGTCGTCAGTCCATTCACAAATACCGGCGTACCAGAAGCAGACGGCATAGTAAGGGCTGCTGCAGCAGCATTTACAACGGAGAGAGGAAGAACAAATGTGGCGGGGCCAGACGAACCAGCCTGACAGGCGGCAGCAGCAGCTGGTGAACTGGCGGAGAAAGAGGGAGATGAACTAGAGATATCGGAGGTACCTAATAAACTCTGAGGAATAGAAGTAGACGAAGTGGTAGTGATGGGAGGAGAGGCTCCAAAGTTAGAGGCGGAAACCACAGAGATGGGGCTAGTTGAAGCAGCAGTTCCAACACCAAGGGGCCCCAGAGAAAGAAGTTTAGCTGACGGAGAGGAATTAGCCGCGGTACTAGAAACAGGGGCTGGTGAACAACAGGCTGAGAGAGTCTGCAAGCTTCCAGAGTAGCCAGTTAGCCCAGGTCCTAGTGATATTGTTGACGTGCAATCGTAGCGTGGACTACTGCTGGTGCTACTGCTGACAGCGGCCGTTCCTGGAGTGCAAGTAGCGACGGGGCTACCAGCAGGGACGGGCTGAAGTAAAGCCGTGCCATCTGTTTTGCCTATACAAGAGCAAAATGAATGATATTCAGTTGAGGTCGGGCGAAAACCACTTAATTAAAGTTAGCCATGCCGTACCAAAAGTTTATTATTGATCCAGAGGCATATTTGGCAACCAAATTTAAACAAGAAGTTGCTTGACCTTGTTTTCGCAACATGGTGATAATGGTAGGAAGATTGATAGAAACGCACCTTGTCCTGAGTCCATTGTATGCATAATTATTTCCAGAGT